ACTGCTGAAGTTCTTTGTGGGAATCAAATAGGTGCAAAGTGTGACATTGTTCACAGATTTCACGCTCCTGAATATCTTAGTATTCTTTTTTTTTAAAGTAATTTATAAGACTGAAAATATGCTCAAATTGATCAATGTGCTTTTGTCTAAGAAACATTGATTTCCAGTTGTTGTGGGCAGCTCATATCTCTGATTCTTCTAATGGTTAACAGAGTAGAATAAATTATGCAAAAGTTATGCATAGTGTAGTGGTTTGAATGCTGGACTATGATTTAGGAGACCTTGAGTGAGTCACACACTTTCAGCCTCTGCAAATTCCATAATAGGTTCACCTTAGGGTCATGATAAATCTTAAAATAAATTAGAAACCAAAGTGGAATATACTACAAAGTGATGCAATGTAGAGCACTCATGCTCAGAGTTCTAGCTAATGATGCTTTCTTCAATCATACATACTTCTTTTTCTCTGTTCCCCGCCCTCCAATGAACACAGTTGCTGAAATTCCTCAAATCACATTGCATTGTTTATAAGGCTTCTGTCCTTGATTTTGTTTCTTAATATCCATTTCTGAAAACTTGAGGGTTGCCCCTAAGCTTATGGTCACTTCTGTACTTGTTTCTAAGTATTTCCGTGGTTACAGTCTCATTAGCACTCACAGTCTAATTTCAATATTAGATATAGTGATGATAAAGAAGACAACACAAATATTGGAATATTTGACAAATCTTGTGAAATAACTGATTTTTGAGACATTAGCAAATACAGGGTGAGGCAGCATAACTTCCTTTTTTTAAATGTGCGCCATTCAGTTGGTTGAAGATGTAGAAGAGCGCTAGTGGTCTCGTTCGAGAGGCGGGAGTATAAAGTTTTGTCCTGACACAGTTCAGTCGCCATCATGCGTTGGAACAGTGAGGAGCGTGCTTTTGCTGCTGAGGCCTACTTTTCGAGCGGATTTGGAGTGGCTGGCCTGCTCCCTTGTGATTTTTTTCTATGGGGTTTTTTGAAATCCCATGTTTATGTGAACCGTCCAAGGACCCTACAAGATTTGAAGACCAACATCCAGGAAAAATCTGCCAACATAATGCCTGCTATGCTGGCAAGAGTCATGACAAACGCCAGAAATCGGTTTACTCAGTGTATGGAGAATGGAGGACATCACCTACCTAATTTAATCTTCAAAACTACGTAAAACAAAACTTTAGGTATGTGCTTACATTATATAAAAAAAATCTGATTCATACAATGGGTTTTATTAAGTTTCGGAAAAAGGAAGTTATGCTGCCTCACCCTGTATTAGTGCGGCTTGTTTCTCAGTGGCATGTTAGCAACCAAACAGACTGAGAGAATGAAACCTTTGACACGAAACTTTTATTTTAAATTAAATAAAAATCATAGTCAAATACTCATAAGGGAGGAAGAATTTCCAAGGTATTTGTTTTTAGGCAGTCATCTCAATTAATGGAGAGCCTGAATTCTCATCCAGTTATTAGTACTGTCATGTTTACACATCTAGAGCCGATTTTTTTTGGTGGGACTGTATACTCTTTCAAACACAAACTTCTTCACAGAGAAGAGAACAGTGGAAGCAAAGGGAAAGGGGATCAGGGAATGAATGTGGATAATTCCAGTTATACATACTCAAGCTTCCTCCCATAAATTCCACTGCATAACTCTGCAAGGGCCATGCAGAGAATGGTTAATGTGAAAGACTGTGAACTAGCAGTGCCTTCCATGATCACAGCAACACTTTTGTCATTTACTCCTAACCCTTCTCCATGACGACTGAATTCTCTTCCAGGGAAAAAATCACCAATATTTTGGACCTGCCTGGAGGCAGCTGATCATTTTTACAGGAAAGCTCTTTCTTTATAAAGAAATGATCATAATAACCTGGCTAGCACAGTCCAGCTGGGCAGACCTTGTGCCCCAACATCTCCTTTTCAGATCTTACAAAATGCAGAGCAACAGAGATATGTTTTTGATATGCCATTTATACAAGGTGATGTAGCACTTTCACAGCAGCTGATATACTTCTTGACATGCAGACTATGACAGGCACAGCCAAAATACCCACCAGACAGCCTGCTTGTCCGATCATGTCATCTAAGGCAACAGCAATAAAACTTCTCAAATTCATGTCTGCATCCACATCTCTCTAGGGGCCAGTACAAATCAGCTTTGTACACAAAACATAGCTTCATTTTTAGGAAGATTAATTATGGGAAGGCAGTAAATAATTAGCAAGGGATGTTTGAAAATGATAAACCTGTGATACTAAATATCAGCCAAGTACCATTATTGTAGTTCATTAAATCGTTATCATTATTATAATTCTTTGAAGGCGAGGGACAGCAGTAAATAGAAATACAGAGAAGAGGAAAGATATGCACTACAAAACCACTATAATTAGCTTATATGCTAATAATATTTGGTTCCTGGACAAAGATAAAATCTTGAGGATTTAAAAATAATGAAATGCATTGTAACAAGATGCAGGATTGCTTAAAATAAGCCTCTTGGGATCCTTTCCATTCCTGTCATTCTGTACTTTAGGGTCTCTGTAAGCGGGTGATCAGTTGTGGGTTGCCCGGAGGCAATGCTTTTTAAAGGTTTGACAAAAGACTGCTGACAGCCAGCAGTGTTCAGGTGAATGTGCCCCACTGGGAACTCAGCTGGGCCAAGAAGGCAAGGGGATTGGATGAAATGACTCATGCTTCTCCGCCCAGCAATTGAGTTGTGGGAGCAGCTAGGTCTGTATATAGGAGGAAACAAAAGGATAAAACCACAGCTTTTGGGAAGACAGAAGTGCAAACAAGACTAGAGTGAGAAGAGGTAAGAAAGGTGGATTTGGGGAGCTCTGAAAGTACCAAACATCCCCTCTCCCCACTGCCCCAACCAATCTGATGCGGGAGCATAAAAGGGATGTTTACAACATGAACCTCCAACCTGAAGGCAGCCTGAGGTAACTGGGGTGTTGTAAGTTTTTCAGGCTGTATGGCCATGATTCAGAAGGATTCTCTCCTGACATTTCACCTGCATCTAGGGCAGGCATCCCCAGAGGTGGTGAAGTGTAAGTAAGCCACAAATCACAACATGCCAACCAACCTCCCCATAACCTTAGACAAAGGAGGGCAAAAAAGGAGTAACTACTTGAAACCCTGGAGTTCTCAGTATTCAGAGAAACAGCATGTGGAAGGTATAACAGTTTCATCAGCATTCTCCCCTGGTGCCAAGGTAGCCAAAGATCTGTAACCCTTTTGACATCAATAGTTGTTAGAAAAAGGAGCCATGTAGACCCAAAGCCCTATTATTATTTTAGTATTCAGTTAAAAGGACACACCACAAAGCTCTGCCAGAAGCATGTCCAAGGTCCAGTTTGAGAACTCTACTTTCTTACATAGTTTTGGCAAGCAGTCATTCCTGTAACTTACCTAAAGGTAGAATCAGCGCTGGAAAAATATAAATATGCTGAACTTCTGCACAATAGGATAATTGTGAGATACAAATCAGCTCGTTTCAAAATATGAAAGTTATATACTGAAAGGGAATGCAGAATATCAATTGGCTTTATCATTCATTCTGCTATGAAGCAAAAAAATATCTTGGGGCTGGGGTAGAAGGAAAAATTGTTTCTCTCTCTGATGGTTTTTCATCATCACAGTATGCCTTCCTAGGAAATCAAACTCAGCATATAATTTTGTCCACTTGGACTCAGAAGTACACATGCATAAAAATCCCACTGTTCAAATATACAAAGGATCGCAGCCTACACTGCATAGGGCAAAAACTTCAAATGCTTTATAGGTGAAGGGAAGTAAACTAACTTCCCTTTCAGCTAAATAGCTCAGTTGCAACAGCTCACATATTCTAAACCTATATTTTATAGTTAATCCGCTAAGCTTCATACTGTGGGATACATTCTATCCATGTCCATCTGTGGGTATAATGTTGCAGAAAACACAAAAGCACAAAACACATTATATGTAGTATTATACTACATTCTGGGTATAACATGCTGGGAATTTATGTGTACAAACCCAGCACAAACATTGCATCCAAACACAGAAGTCTGGCTTGGCCGGAACATTGTCTGGGCATCATATCCACAGCTAGTTATGCTATCATGCTGTTCTGTTACTTTGGTTGTTACTGAAAGGTTAAGCGGGTAGATAACTATTGGCTAACATGTCAACTAGATGAATCACCATCTACTTTCAGAACATGAAACAGCTTCCATTCAGCTGTCATCACACTTGAGGTTTTAAACAGCCGTTCAAACAGATCTCAGGAACTAGCAGTGTGGCTCCGTTCAGATATTACGCAAAGTCATGATCTTAATCACTGATGATTTAGTACACAAACTGCTGCCTAAGCTTGCAAACAGAATTTACAGGCAATTCTTTGATTTCTGACCCCACCTCAAGTTACAGAAACAGATGTAACTGATTATTATCAATTCAAACATCATGAAAGCATAGTTAGCACACATCCTGGTTTGCAATCCTTCATCAGACCATGGGTCATTCATACTATATAATTATAACACTATGGTTCCAATTTAACTGCCATGATTCTATCCTGTGGAATCCTAGGCTTTGTAGTTTGATTGGAGGAACCGCATCCCTAAACTGTCAGTCCCAGAATTCCAGTTGAAGTTGAATCTGGCACGATAGTTCTTTGTGGGCCCCATGACTTTTAATTGGTGATTATTTATCTGAAAGGCTTCTTTCATGCTTTACTTGAAAGAAATCAGTCAAAGTGGCCAACAAACTAAACAGTACAATAACCATTTAAAGTAGAAAAAATAACTATAGAAAATATCAGGGCTAATTTTAAAATGAGACAAAACAAATGGGAAACAATCATAAGGGTTGTTAAAACCAGATTTTTAGCATGACATAATGTAAGTGAGTTTATGGGTGAAAGGAGAAGAAAAAGGGAAATGCCTCTTTTGGAGTAGAAAGACCTATGAAAAATATTTTTAAAAGAGGAGACTTACTTTGCTCTAGGTTGATGTACTAATCCCGGAAGCTCTTTATTATTCTTAAGTCTTACATGGGTACTGGCACTTTTTTCCTGGGGAAGTAAAAGAAAACACGTCAGAGGACAGAAAGACAGATACAATTTATCAGAGTGTTTAAAAATTGAACATTAATTTCTCATTACAATTTCTCATTAAAGAAGCTATATATAAGTAAAATCTTTAAAACACAGTTTAGGTGCATCATGATGAACAGATATGGAGTGCTGTACTGTTGGAAAATTTTGTTTGAACATATTGTAAAAAGGACTACATTAAACATATTCTCTTTTTCATAAAATCTAAAATTACTACAATCCTCTATCTCTTAAGAAAGACTAACACTGGCTCGCATCTTGCTGGCAACTGCTGAGAAGATTGGTTCTCCCTTCGTCCTTCCCACAGCTAACAAAACTCTGGGAATCATGGAATTGGAAGAGACCATATGGGCCATCCAATCCAATCTCCCGCCACGCAGCAAAAGCACAATTAAAACACCCCGACAGAGGGCCATCCAGCCTCTGTTTAAAAGCCTCCAAAGTAGGAGCTTGCACCAGACTCTGAGGTAGAGAGTTACACTGTTGAACAGCTTTTACAGTCAGGAAGTTCTTCCTAGTGTTTAGGTGAAATCTCCTTTCCTGTAACTTGAACCCATTGGTCTCCAAATCCTAGTCTCCGGGGACACAGAAAATGAGATCCTTTAAGATACTGATAACATGAAACTCAAGTAAATAATGTTAGGTGCAGGAATTAAAAATTCTATTCCTACCCCCCCAAACCATCCACTACACAGGCTCAGTTGGCTTTAAATGCCAAGTAACATGGAGATACCTCTTCCAAGGTAACAAATGAACAAATTTGTAGATTTTTAATAAAAGTTATGCCTAGAATCATTTTTTTTTACTTGTACCCCTACTTTGTGAGAATCTTTCTTAGGTTGGGTCATGGAAGATAGCCAACCTTCACATAGTCCTGTACCTAAAACACTTTCTGTTGTTATTGTTGCTACTAATGCACGGCAAAGCAATATCTCATGTGAAACCCCCACTGTTTGTGTACTACAGACAGACTGACCATGTCAGCAAAAATTACGGTAGGTGTTCTTTTTATTTTTATTTTTACATTTACAAGTTCAAAATCTGGGTAGTCTCACAGCTAATGGAGAATTACAATTAATCATTGTAATTATTGGCTTCCTGTCAGTGGCCAACACCTTCAGGGGATTCAAAACCACAGGTTGAGTATCAGCAAGCCTGGCTTTAGTTCAAAGCTATCAGTCTTGCCAGGCCTTTCCACTCATTCTTCAGTAGTACTATAAAAAACCTCTGAATAAGGGATGCAGCCCATCTGCTGAGTTCTCTTTATCCCATGGGGCAACTTTTAATTTTGCTTTGTCATATGTATTTCTGGGTAGAGTTTTGTTTTGTTTTTGCCTACACGCACGATAAGCAGATACCACTGTCAAATTGAGAGGAGAGGACAGAGAGGCACACTGAATGTTAATGAGACTTGAAGGGGCAGACTGTAGCGTGAGGGTAGAGAACCGGAGGTATCCAGTCAGCATCTATTCACACATGCCTCTGTCGTGTCTTTTGATTGCCTCTATTGTGCAATTTGATTTCAATTATATTTGCACTGTTATCCAACTGGGAGTGGGCTGCATGCTCCCTGTCTACTCCCCTTTAAATGTAGTCTCATTAAATGTAGCCCCATTAAAAGCTAACCTGTGTTTCTTCTTAAACCAGAATCTGAAAACTGCATAAAACCAAATTCTAGATTATAAGATTCCTGGGTAGCTTTAATTACATTTAAGATTGATGCAAATGAAATGATTTGCCATGGTTGGACACATTGTGTTTATACCTCAATAAAAGCTATATCTTTTAATGAGTACACTCATTAAAAAGTCCACAATAAACGTTGAGCTTGCAAACATTTTGCAGGCTGCAAATAGGTATTTGCAGACCTCTGCCTTTTTTCCAGCAGCCTCTCCTGCTTTTCTGTGTGGACATAATTTTCCATCCCTGCTCTTGTAGTCCATTCACCAGCCTATATTCAATCCCTTCATATCTACTAACTATAGGCTTAGTGCTTAAATACAAGGCTCCTCCACACAAATCCTACGTCTATACTGGCCTTCACAAATCCAAATTGGTCTGTCTCACTTATCTCCACAGTTTACCTGCTAGATAAATTAAACTGAAAGACGTCACTGAACTGGACAAAGTCTCCAAGCAAATTTTATGATTAAGCAGCGGGTTAACTGGGATTAATATGATGCAGATAATTCAATGCAAGCATCAATACAAACCAAGGCTAAGGAAACTTGTCTATGGCTTGACTGGATATAAACAATGTTTTATACTCCACCAGTAAATGTAAGTAAAAGAATGAATTCTGCTATGATACGATGTGATGTCAAAATTGGGTGGTGGTCGGATATTATGTCATAACAGAGTAACAGGAGTGATTGAATATGGAAATACCATTCATCTTAAATCATCATTTGCCTATTTTGAAAATTCAAATCATGGTTTATATCTAAACACTGGGTAGCACAAATTACGGTTTGGAATGAGGCTTTGCAAAATATCTGCATTGGGTGTGCACAGCACTATCTATAGGCTGCTATAGACAGAATTAAGAAAAACAAATCAAAATTTAACTGAGTAACTTACAATTGTGCTGTTTAGGAGCATATAAGCCAACCTTTCATTTATTTTCCATCTATTACTCAGCAGGAGTAATAAGAAGCAAGAGAAGAATTTAATGACACAAATAAAGCTCCACCTAATAAAGTTTAAGTCCACTAATTTTTAAGCTGACAGGTCACACTGTTTATGCAGTCATAATTTACCACAAGTGTGCATTCATATAAAGTTCGAAGGCTCACTCTCATAAAAATGATTTTTTTCCCTCTCTCCAGACAGTATTCCTAAGTATCAAAAAATTATGGTGAATTCATTACAACTTCTGTCTAGTTTCAGCTCTCAAAAGGATTTGTCCTTCATTCAATTTTTTTTAGAGAATATAAACAAGAATTCTTCCAAAGGTTCCTGACTTGTAGAATTTCAATCTCAAGCCTCAAAATATTACAAATTTTCAAAAACAAAGAATGAGATGTGAGATATGAAAGCAATGCTGTTTTGAAAAATTGAAAGACAAATGGAAAGTATTGAATTTCTTTAACTCTCATCATTGGTGCTAAGCATCTGTGATAAATGTGACCAACAGTGGTATAAGGTTTGAGATGCCATACTAAACCTACTAATACAAACATTTAATTTTTCTCTGCATTCTTTCCTTTCCTATTGAAACTTTTGAAAGCAATTTCTTTAGTAGCATTTGTAGTGGTCCGTTACCTTTTGGTCTGAGTCAATGATTGAGTAGACTTCTCTCTGCAAAACAGCGGCAGTTTTGTCTGTAAACAGAACCTTGAGTCTTCAAAGGCTCTTCAGTCCTTTCTGTTTCTAGCTAGGATAAGTTCCTGATATGAAGGTAAAGTAGGCAGCATGCTTGCCAAAGAACTGGTAGCATAGAGTAAATTCCATTTTTAAATTCTATGAAATTACTTAAAACAAAAGGCTATTTTTACTATGAAACAGACAGAAATTTCTGCCTAAGTAACACTTCATTTCCCCCTAATCATATATCTGTTAGATGGATTGGCTACTTTTTTCCTTGCATGTGTCATGTGAGTTCTGATTTCTTCTAAAATAAATTCACTTACTTTTTAATTGCAATATAATCCCCTTTGGGTTACCCTCTTGAAACCCACTGACCTCTTTCCGTCTGTTGTGATTCTTTATTGTTAATTTCTGCAATGTGCAAACTCTTGGCCTTACAAAATTCAATCAGTATCTGGCTTGATTTCTTGATCATAATCCAATTTTTTCAACAATCTTTGATTCTGCTCTGTTTCTTATTTGTGTATCTCAATCACATATGATTAACATGAAATCCTGAACGACAGCACAGTACCTTTCAATTTCTTCTTCTGCCTTTGTAAATGGACCATAACCTTGATTTAAGGTTATATTGCTGGGTTTTCACAGAAGTCTTATTGACATGGTTGGGTCAGACTTTGAATTACATCTTTTGACTGCTTTTGCTGCACCTCTCCTCATGATAAGTGTGATTCCAGTTCTTAGATTTTCATTCACTGAGTAAGTGAAATTGTCCCACTCAAAATGTCCCTTTCCTATCCACTTTTAGCTCTCTGATTCAAAATATTGCTGTGTTTATACAGGGTGAGGGAGCATAACTTCCTTTTTTAAAATGTGCGCCATTCAGTTGTTTGAAGACATAGCGGAGCGCTAGTAGTATCGTTTGAGAGGCGGGAGTATAAAGTTTTGTCCAGTCGCCATCATGCATTGGAACAGTGAGGAGCGTGCTTTTGCCGTTGAGGCCTACTTTTCGAGTGGATTTGGAGTGGCTGGCCCACTCTCCAGATTTAGCCCCTTGTGATTTTTTTCTGTGGAAATCCCGTGTTTATGTGAACCGTCCAAGGACCCTACAAGATTTGAAGACCAACATCCAGGAAGAAATTGCCAACATAATGCCTGCTATGCTGGCAAGAGTCATGACAAACGCCAGAAATCGGTTTACTCAGTGTATGGAGAATGGAGAATGGGGGACGTCCCCTACCTAATTTGATCTTCAAAACTATGTAAAACAAAACTTTAGGTATGCGCCTACATTATAAAAAAATTAAAAAATTCTGATTCATACATGTGTTTAAGTTTTCAAAAAAGGAAGTTATGCTGCCTCACCCTGTACATTCCATTTCTTGTTTTCCTACATCTAGCTTTCCCTGATTCATGCTTTTTACATTCCTTGCTTCAGAAGTGTATGAAATTTCACTGTCTTCTATTGGATGCAAGGATCATTGGAGAACATTGGCTAGAGCACTGGACATCCAGATCAATATCTGTACTTTAGTATGAAAGCCATTTTGTAGTTTTAATCTGGCAACAATCCTTCACTCTAACCTATCTCTCAGAAGATAAAGGACAGTACAGTGTTAAATCAAACGAATAACAAAAAAATAGGTCTA